GTACTGAGGGGTATCCGGGGGCTCCGTCCCATGTGCGGTGTGACTGCTGCTGCTACAAGCTACAAGATCTTGCTACGTCTGCATACAATATGCATGGAGTACCTGTATGTACCATTGCAGCAGCGCCGCCATGGTACACACAGCGAGAGGTTCACACACACAGCTGCAGTGCGTGCAAAGGTGTGCACCAGCAGCACCAACAGTAACACACTTGATATAACTCCTCAGGTGCTTTGCGATGGAGCCCCGTTGTACGCAAGATAGATGTCACCGCAGCCACTCTATTGTATGCACGCACACCTCTATANTTGCAGCAGCGCCGCCATGGTACACACAGCGAGAGGTTCACACACACAGCTGCAGTGCGTACAAAGGTGTGCACCAGCAGCACCAACAGTAACACACTTGATATAACTCCTCAGGTGCTTTGCGATGGAGCCCCGTTGTACGCAAGATAGATGTCACCGCAGCCACTCTATTGTATGCACGCACACCTCTATACAGCAGAAGTACTACTACAGGTACAAGACTACATGCTGCTGTAGATTCTTTGAGATCGAGTCTCCTCTGCCCCCCCCCGGCGTTGCGATGCTTGGTTCACCTCACGCGTGGCTTGCTGGGTCCACCCAAGCGTGCCGGGGGGGGGGGGAACTCCCGCCCCGGACCCCCCCCCCTGCCTTCGATGATTGGTCCACCTCCGTGTGGTTTGCGTGGTCCTTACATATATTTACTTATTTTTAACTACAGCAGTAAATACTTGTTGCACACTTCGTTATACAGTCTTGTACCAAAAGGGTTCGCGTCAGGTTGGCGCGAGCTTTTTTCCTAACGATTTTTGGATTTTTTTGGTTGAAAGCCCGATGTATGTGAATATGGTCCATGTGCGTGCATGCCGACCTTCCGACCTCGGGCGAGGCGGTCTGCACGGGGATGTGTGCACTGCTCTGTATCTCTGCAGACACCACCACGATGTACATTGCTCGACTGCTGCTGGAAACTGCATACATACATGGGGCTGCTCTGCTTGCTGCTGCTGTACTTCTAGTTCATGCAGCAGTCGGACATGGCCGGCAGAACGAACGAACGACGATTGATTGTGCGACATTTTCATGGATTTGTCTTGGTTGAAGCCCCCCGCATGCCGCAAGCATGTGTATGTGTGCGCATCCCTCCTCCTCCGGAGCGGGGTGAAGAGAGCACCGCGGCGAGGGGTGAAGCAAGAACGTTCAATAAGAAACATAGGGAAAGAGATGCGTACTTAGTTATAGCCTGCTCCACCACATCTCCGCACAGAGAAAAAAATTGGTTAGCACCTTTTTTGGGAGGTCGGCGCGAGCTTTCTCATCGATATTGCCTGCTTTCAAAGAGATCCTCCTGCAGGAATTTGGCTGTATATTCTCTGGATTTTGTTTGGTTGAAAGCCCGCAGCCGGGCGGATGTGTATATGTGCCTGCCGACCTCCCGACCTCTGGCTCGGCGGTCTGCACGGAGGTGCATGCACTGCTCAGCATCTCTGCTGACACTCCCACGACATATACATTGCTCGACTGCTGCTGGAAACTACATAATACTTGTAGGGCTGTCCGTGTGTAGTTCATTCAGCAGTCGGACTCAATCCTGGCCTCATGGCCATCATCAGCACAAGGACCAATTGATTGAACGACGTCAAGGTATGTTTTTCTGTTCTTCTCCACGAACACACGCACATACACACCATCGAAAGGGCAACGGATAACAAACTAGTGTACATGTGCGTTTCCAGCGTTCGAACAGTATCAGGTAGTGACCGTAGCATCGTTATGTCTCAAGAATTCGGTTGGGATGAGGCGACATGAGACAGACAGCCGTCCAGAACATCTCCCCCGTA